GACCAGGACTGGACACCCTGCGGACACACTGGACCTCCAGGACCAGGACTGGACACCCCAGCTCACAGATTATTTTACCTGTTAAATTGTACAGTGTGTTTTTGTCTGTATTATCAAAGCCCTGTGCAGGTAACCTTCAGCTTCTTTCTGGAGGGTGTTTAATCCAGTCACAACCTCCAAATCCTGGTGATAAGTCTTACCCAATGTCCTAACGAGCGCCCTTCCACTCTGCCCTGCTGACCCCAGGAGAGGAGGACCCCAGCTCGCTGGCGGAGGTGTCCTATTACTCCTATGAGTATGACAGCGAGCCCTTTCTGCCGGAGGGGGAGAGCGAGGACGTGGTCACACCCCGAGGGGAGGGCGCCAGCGAGGCAGGCAGACCGCCTGGCAGCGAACCCCAGCCCACGGACCCCGAGGACACCCCTGAGCGATGGTACGTCCACTTCCTCTATGTCGGTCGCGGGAGGTGACCGCACAGCGAGAGATGATGTTGCCCACAGCTCTGTCACTCTGCAGTTCTCAGCTGGCAGCCCACTGGAGCCCAGCAGGTGTGAGCCTGGTCAGTACCTGGAGGGGAGACTCCTGGGAAAGCTAAGGCTGCTGCTGGAAGAGGTGTTAGTGGGGCCAGTAGGGGGCGCTCACCCTGCACTCTGTGTGGGTTCTTATGCCCCAGTATAGTGACGGGGACACTGTACTGTAAAAAGGTGCCGTCCTTCGGATGAGACGTAAAATCGAGGTCCTGACTTTCTGTGGTCATTAAAAATCATGGGGCATTTCTTGAAAAGAGTAGGGGTGTTACCCTGGTGTCCTGGCCAAATTTCCCATTGGCCCTTACCAATCATGGCCTCCTAATAATCCCTATCTATGAACTGGCTTCATCACTCTGCTTTCCTCCCCACTGAGAGCTGGTGTGTGGGGAGCGTTCTGGTGCACTATGGCTGCTGTCGCATCCCACATGGACTGCGGGGTGAGCGCCCCCTACTGGCCCCACTAACACCTCTTCCAGCAGCAACCTTAGTTTTTCCCAGGACTGATGGGTGCCGATCAGTGTTGCCAAACATGAAACAAAACAAAAAATAAAAATAAAATAAAATCTACACACATATTACAGACATTGACAACAAAGACATATCATAAAATATTTACATATACTGTAAAGGTATGGAGCATTACTGGGAGACAGGCTCACTGTTCCTCAGGCTGGGACAGGAGATCACACACTGGGCTGCCGGTTCAGCTGAGTTCCCTCCTCCCTCTCCCAGTAGGATCGGGACCCGTTGTGATTCTGTCTCTCTCTCTCCCCCTGCACTGCAGAACTCCTCGCCCCGGGCCGGAGCGCCGCAGAGCTCGCTCAGCTTGTACATTGTGTGTGAATATGTGGGACGGACCCGACAGGAGGCGAGCACAGCCAGACAGCTGCGGTCACTGGGGCCAGCGCTCTCCAGACCAGCGGCCTGCCCTCCCCCCCCCCCCCCCCCCAGACGACTGTAGCGCCCCTTCCTTCCAAACTGGTCCCAGTACGCTGTTTTTATATAATCGCTAGACGGGGGAAAAAAAAATGAGTATTTATGTTTGTAATTATACCGGAGAACGAAAATGCTATTTGGAGTATTATTTTTTTCTATCTGTGGTATTTATTTTTGTAGTTAGTGCTTTTGAGTCCTTATAAATGTTTCTTGTGTTCTGTAGCCCCAATCTGCCCCCCCCATGTCTGAAGCACGAGAGCAGGAAGGGAACCTCTACCTCTTTTCTGCCTTGCCGGTTGTACTTGCGTCCGACGCCCAGTAGGTGGTGCTATTGAGTATAGGTTTACGCTATCATGAAGTAACGCTCCGACATTCACCTGATTTGGTGATACAACATTTCAATGTTCTTGTTTAAAAGTAATAAATCTAGCGGTTTAGTTGAATCTGGCAGTATTTATTCTCACGCGGTTTCCGTGTCTGCTATCCCTAACGTCGAAATGAAGAGGACGAGTAAAGGTACAGACGAGAAACCCATTGTCTGGGCTGTTGAACCTGCTTCTGGTGTGGAGAAAGTGGAACACCTGTTGGTTGGACACCCCAAGAAAGCTCAACAGCGGAAATGTTGTTTCTTATTTGTACCTTTCAGGTTAGAATAAACCTTTATTTCTTCCCTTTCAGTCTTCAGCCTTCTTGAAACAAATTCAACATTTTCGTGAATGTCCTTTTGATGTAAGCTGGTAATGGATTGGTATTCAACTGACAAGGTTACGTGTTCTAGTAAATATTCAGTGCAGGAAGTGGAGTAAAGAGAACTACAGACAGGGTCATGCTACTCCAACCCCAAAACGACCGTTATGTTCGAGCACACCTTCAAAATCAAAAAACAGGTTAGACAACAGCCCTTAAGTCGTGTCTTTCTGAAGTGCGAATCTGCAAATGCAAAACAAAATGCAGAAGGATCTCCGAGACCTCTCGGGAATCTTGCAGAGCAGAGAAGGTGAAACATGAGTGGCGTTCTCTTTTCTCACTTGCTGTGACTGATCTGAACAAAATCGTCTGAGCTGGGAAATTCACAAATAGAAATGTGGTCGAGGGATGTCCCAGCTGCCAGATTGACTGTTTTTATATGGACTTAAGTCATTTATAGTCTGATGTGTGGGGTGATCGCTTCTATTTCAAAGGGTCAGTTTGGTCTTTGTCATTCAGGGGTGATAAGCGTTGAATTTGTCTCTTCAAACCAAAAGTTTACTTTTTAACAGAAAAGGCTTTAAAGCTCGGCAACCTATTAACTTCCTATGAAAGGATTGAAAATCCTTTTTCCTGCGGTTTATTTTTCATTCCCTGCTGACAATGCAGAAGATAGGAGCTGTCGTTTCTAGTCCTTTCTGCAGAATGGGACCCCTGCTGCGAGACTCTCAGACTCTCTGTCACTGACAGCAGGACCCCCGAAACTGACTGCCAATACTACTGGCTCTGATGCATAGTCTGGAGGTATTGTAAAGGATGTAATCTGAAATAATGTACTGTTATGCCCCCAAACAATTTCAAATACTGTACTTTTTTTAAAAAATAAACTTTGTATACAACTGATTTGGTCTATGAGCATTTTCTTTATTTTTTAGAATTGGTGGTGTTCAGTTCTGGTCTTGGAGGGTGTCTCTCTCTCTCTCTCTGCTGGTTTTTGTTCCAAAACAGCTCTTAATGGTCCCAATCAGCTCCTGTTTAGCTTAATTAGATTATAAAATCTTAATTATTAAATATCCTCCCAGCTCCTCGGGTGCTGCTGCTTTGAAGATGACTAGAAGACCTGCAGACACACTGACCCCTCCAGGACCAGGACTGGACACCCTGCAGACACACTGACCCCTCCAGGACCAGGACTGGACACCCTGGGGACACACTGACCCCTCCAGGACCAGGACTGGACACACTGACCCCTCCAGGACCAGGACTGGACACCCGGCGGACACACTGACCCTCCAGGACCAGGACTGGACACCCTGCGGACACACTGACCCCTCCTCCATATTTACTCAAAATAAGGCCTGTGATCTGCAAGGCTGCAGGGTGGCTGTGATCAGTTTCCCAGCAGCTCAGCGCTCACAGCGCTCCCTGTCCCTCGACTCGTTTCACGTTGGGAGCCCAGGCCTTTGTTGTCACCCTGTTTGGTGGCAACCCAGTACAGTCTCTGGTGTCGTGCGTGATTAATCTTTTTTTTTTTCTTTAAAAAAAAAGATCTGGGTAGAGTTACAAATCCCGCGGCCGCGGTGAGTTAGACCCTGTTAATGTTTAATGCCCGTCTCTGTTCAGGCCGGTAGCTGGTGAGTTTTCAGTTACCTTGATTACTGCTCGCAGCTGCTGGTGGGTTTCAGTCGCCCAGTGTCGGTTTCTGAAGCGCCCTCCGGGCCGGGGGTCCAGGGCTCCGGGGGTCTTACCTGTCTTACCTGCCCACTCTCCTGGGACGATCCCGCGCCTCCCCGGCAGCGAGAAAAGCCGAGCCGAGCCGAGCCGAGCCGGCACCGCTCGCCGGAGGTCCTGCGGGAGGCGGGTCGGTCCGCTCGCTCGGATATCGAGTTTCAGGAGATGGGATCCGCGCGATGACACATCCGCGCGTCTCCTCTCGCTCGGCCCCCGCCTCTGTCCCGGATCCCGGGCCGGGTACTTAAGCGCAACGGGAGCTCTGGGACGCGCCAGTCCCGGTCCACGACTGAGTCGGACTCTTCCACTGCGAAGCGCGGTCTCGTCCCACGCGAGGTCTGGTAAGCAGGTCCGGACCTGTGGGCTGTGAGCGGAGTCCCCTTGCGGCCCCCGCGGGAAAGAGCACGTGGGGGCTCGTTTACCGGGTCGCCCCCACCCCCGCGAGAGCCGGACCGAGCCACGGGGCGCGCCGGAAACTCCGGTCCAACCCTCTCCGAACCGCAGAAGAGCGCCTTCGAGGGCTCCGCGTGTCCCGGTGCGTGGGAGTGGGCAGCTCCACTGCCCCGGTGCGTGGGTGCGCCACAGCTGGAGGCCGGCTAGGGGCTCAAAGAAATGAGCAGATTGAACAGGGCGGCAGAATGGGATGCCGACCTGTTTGTAATAAGTTGTAGCCATCTCGGGTGATCTTCCCATCAGGCTTATCGGTCAAAGAATCGATTAAAAAAGCCCTCAAGCCCCAGTTTGAAACGCTCGAGTATCGAAGTGCATCGTCAGGGTTCTGTTCCTTGCGAACTCGGGTTTGAAAAGGCTGCACAAAAGCTCAATCCCGCCCTACCCAGTGGAAGAGAAGGTTTTGAAAGGTGGCCGCTTAATTTACAGCTTAAATTCATTTTTGATGATTATTTTTTCCTTCCAGATTGCGCCCAGGTACGTCACATCCTCTGGGAAGAGCGTCACCGGGGGCCAGTGCGGACCCCTGACCCTGTCCGTGCTGGACTCGTCCCAGCCCCCCAGCAGCCCCCACAGTTCCCAGGGGAGCCCCCGAGGCGATGGGGGAGACGGAGAAGAGGCGCCCCCCGATAGCGGGCCGGGAGAAGGGTAGGTCAGCTGCCGCTCGCTCTGGCGGCTGTCAGACTTTCAGCTGGTGATTCTCTTTGGATTTTTAGACCGAGAACGATTTCAAGAGGAGCGAAACTTAATTTTTCCATTTTTATTGCACTATTATTCTGTAACTTTGTTCTGTAACTTTTTTAATTTTGTAAATTTTCTTCTTATTTCCCCCTGGCGAGCTCGCAGAAAAGACATCTCATTGCCAGCAATTACTGCTGCACGCTGCATTGTTGTGCGTGTGATAAACTTGGATTGATTGATTGAAAACTCCCAACTCGCGTCACTAACCTGCCCCCTCCGAAGCATCATAAATACGAGCCCCTGAGCCGCCACCACGCAACTGTGCGTGTCGGAGCCTGAGAATGACGTCATGGCGTCATGCCCCTGTAGAACCGCAGGAGTGTCCGAGACTCTCGGAGACAGAGGTGCACTTCCTACTGCACTGGGACAGATACTCTGGGATTAGAGAAACATTCTTCCCCAAATTTACTAATCTAATCCCAGAATTCTCACACCTGCCAGAATCACAACAGGTCCCAGTCCTACTGGGAGAGGGAGGAGGGAACTCAGTTGAACTGGCAGCCCAGTATGTGATCTCCTGTCACAGCCTGAGGAACAGTGAGCCTGTCTCCCAGTAATGCTCCATCTGTTTATATGTAAATATCTTATGATGTGTCTTTATTGTAAATGACTCTAGTTTTTCTTAAGTTAGTTGTATTTGTTTTGCTTTGGCCAGACTGATTGTACTCACTGGTCTTGCCAATAAAGCACCTCGAAGTGAATTGAAATGGACTCTGGGCCGGAGTCTGTCTCCGGAGCTACAGACAGGAGCTGTGATCTCAGCCAGTGCAGTGGCCGTCTGAAACGAGCTCAGATCCGCCAAGGGCAGGAACTATTTCACCTCCATATGCAAGAGTGGGTTTTAAAGGTTTCTCACCTCCGGTAGTAAGCAGGACTAAAATTCCTCAGCAGCCTGTGAGGAATTTGTCGATTCACTGTTCGCAGTCCCTGTGAAAGGAGCACAGACTCTCACATGTGTGTGAGTGCGCTTCGAGTTTGGGAAACCTTTCGACTGCAGATCAAGGGGATCCCTAAGGCAGCAGGGGTCCCTGGGGATAATCAGGGTGCCACACTGTATCACGGGCAGGGCTCGGGGTCTATCGGGGTGCCAGACTGTCTAATCTCCCTGGGGTTTATCGGGGTGCGCCACTGTCTCATCTCTGGGGTTCATGCGGGTGCCCTACTGTCTCAGGTCCCTTGGGCTCCTCGGGGTGCCCCACTGTCTCAGGCCAACGGGGATAATTGGTGTGCTATACTGTCTCAGGGGCCTGGGGGTAATTGGGGTTCTATACTGCCTCAGGTGCCTGGGGTTCATGGGGGGTGCCCCACTGAAGAGGAACAGGAACAGGAAGTGGTTGAATGTAAGAGCTGAGCTGCCCAGACGTGTTGGGAGAGGTTTTAAAGGCAGTACAGTCATTGTTGAAATCTTTAGTTTTGGGACGCTGGGGTGAGGTTGCCTGTTTATACTGACAAGACCCCTGACCCTGCCTGCCTGTCCCCTGTGTCTCTCTGACCCTGCCTGTCCCCTCCGTCTCCCTGACCCTGTGTGTCCCCTCCGTCTCCCTGAGCTTCAGCCTGCCTGTCCCCTGCGTCTCCCTGACCCTGCCTGTCCCCTGTGTCTCTCTGACCCTGCCTGTCCCCTCCGTCTCCCTGACCCTGTGTGTCCCCTCCGTCTCCCTGAGCTTCAGCCTGCCTGTCCCCTGCGTCTCCCTGACCCTGCCTGTCCCCTGTGTCTCTCTGACCCTGCTTGTCTGTCCCCTGTGTTTCTCTGACCCTGCCTGTCCCCTGCGTCTCCCTGAGCCTCAGCCTGCCTGTCCCCTGCGTCTCCCTGACCCCGTCTGTCCCCTGTGTCTGCAGGCCCTGGGCCAGGCCGATACGCCCTGCCGCCCACGATCGGCTTCGCTGGGCACGACTTCACCCGGCCCGCCGGTCCCGCCTACTCCTTCCACAGCAGGATGAGCAGCGTCAGTGAGTGCCTCTCCTTTCAGCCGCTGCAGGGGACTCTGGGACTGAGCTCAGAATACCTGACACCAAAGGAACTAATTACTATTCTTGATTAGAATATTATTTAAAATTTCAGCCACTCAGAAAATGGGACATTTCAGATTTAATGGGTCTTCATATATGTTAAATAACTTGAAGGGACGAACGCTTTATGGCTGTGCTTTATTTTGTGTGTAATAGCTGTTATAAGCATTGCCGTCTCATTCAAATGTTTGCTCGCACTGTGCCACTAGAGGGCGCCATCGGCCGCCTGGTTTAATGAACCAGCGGTTCGCATGGCTGACTAGAGAGAGAGGTCTCTCACCAGATAATTCAAGACTGCATCACACAACCTCACAACTATCAGAAAACTAAGAATAATCTGGATCTGGTTTTATTAATTAACACAATCCCTTCAGCACTACTTAGTAAGCCCTGGACTGTGGGCATTACAGCACTGCCAAAACATACCGCATAAGATCACAGGGACTCTGTCCTTAAAAACACAGTTTAATATGTTTTGGCAAAATACTTGGAGATGCATCACCTTGAGGAATAAAATCAAATTCTGAGCCTTTTTTTTGGATAATACTACAGAGGACTTTTTGCACAACAGAATCATAGTAAAAGCTGAATTTTTAAAATGCGTTTTAAATTTGAAGGTGTTTTTGTAAATGAAAGCATGCTTCATGTGCTGATAGACCCTACACTGCCTACGAATGATGCTTGATAGATTAACTGGACATTGACCGAGGCAGGCAGAGTCTGTCCAGCCCGGCGGTGTCTGACGTCCCTGCCCTCTGTCCACGCGAACAGTGTACTCTGTGGACTCCAGTCCTGGCCCGCGGTACTACATCGACGCCAAGCTGACCCGCTTTGGAAGAGACGGCAGCCCAGCGTTCTCCATGCTCGGCCGGGCTAGAGGCTCTGGTAGGCTTCCCATCGGAACAATCCGAAAATATTTTTGGGACACGGGGTGGGGTGGGGGGGTGAGGTCACCTGTGATGCTGACAACACATTACTTTTCAGTTTTGATTTTGCTCCTCGCTATGTCAGATACACCTATTAAGTATATAGAGTATCTTTACGCTTAATAGCCTGTGAAAAAGACGTTACACATTAGGACGTTAACTCGGCCGCGCTTCTGATACCATATTTACACACTTCTGAACGCGTCAGACGGTCAAATGTATTTTTATTTTTAAAAGGTCAGTGTAAACTGAATAGTAATCAGACTGGGACAACACAATTCCTAGCCAGTAGCTGTGGGTGAGAAACCACTGGGCGTTTGCGATGGGCTGGGATCTTGTCTCATGTTCACCGTGCTCTTTTAGTCATTGAAATGAAGTGCCGGCTGGGGATTTCAGGTGACATTTCATGCGAGTGCTGTGGTTTGGGTCTGTCACGTTGGGCCCAGAGGAGATGCACATGTCAACAATGTAGGAGGCTGCAGAGGAGGTGCAACTTCATTTGAAATGTGCAAGGTATTTATCAAATCGAGATTCAAGGCATCAGCAGAAGTACCTTTCCTTGTGCGTAACTGACAATTACCATTAAAGCCCATCTTGACTTCTCCGCGGTGTCGCAGGGTGAGCCCGGCTCCGACAGCTCGTTAAATTGCAGTTGAAGAGCAAGTGGGGGTGACGGGCGGAGTCTGTTTCAGTTGCAGTAGCTGCCGTGTCCTTCGCACTTAGGGAAGGGAGCAAGCGTTTTGAAAATGGCTTTAATGGAAAAAAAGAACAGCTTTCCTTTGCACTGTTCATTAAAAAGGAGCCCGTGCTTATGTGTTTTGTAGTGTGTAGTCAGACTGCAGTGAGATTCTAAGTCAGGGCTCTTGCACTTACAGGATTCGTTCCTCTGCATTCCATTCCAAAGAATCAAAGATCCTCCTTCAGCTGTTTTTATTGGTTCTTGTATATACACATGCAGATGAAGGAGAATATACATTTTAAAGCTGTTCTATGCAAGCCCAGGCCTCCGAAGTCGACTATGGATGGATGTTTTTCCAGCAGGTCATTCCCAGACTCCGGGGCCCGGGGCCTACAGCCCAGAGAAGGCCCCACCTCTGAACAGGCAGTGCCGACCTCCTTCCTACACCATGGGCTCCCGCACCAGGTACCGCACCGTGGACGCCGTGCCACCCCCCAACAGGTACACTCTGCCAGCGCTGCTGGGCTCCAGAGTGCCCACGAAACCCGCCAGCGCCAGCTACACCGTGTCGGGGCGCACCAGGTCGAGGAGTCACTCGGAAGACCTGTGCGGGACCCCGGGCCCGGGGCGCTACAACAGCACGGACCCCAGCGTCTACCTGGCGCGACGGCCCGCCTTCTCCATGCTGGGGCGCCACGACGTGCCCTCCGACGCCACCAGGAAGCCGGGCCCTGGCACGCACGACGCCGAGAAGGTCACGGCCCACAAGCCCCGCGCCCCTGCGTTCTCCCTGGGGATCAGGCACTCCGAGTTCGTGACGCCACTCGTCATCGACGTTTCAGACTGAAGCCCCGCGTGTCCGTATCGCATCACAAACGTCTCAGTCTGATGTTTTTCCCCCTTCGTGCACAGCCTATCATCGAGCATCTTCACTTCAGTCCACCGGCTTCCTTTCTCAGTGTGGGTGGCACAGTAGACGCTCTTCCTCTTCAGTGTTTGAGAGGATGGCCGGTTTCTGAGGGGTGATTGTATCAGCACCCAGGTCTAAGGTTTTCTGCAACACCGCAGAAGGACGAGAGCTGCACACGTCAAACCTCACAGCAGAGCTGAGCTCTTGCACGTTCAGTTCTGGGATTTTATTGTGTTTACGCTTTTGCAACTATTGGTTTTACGAGTATAAAACATTTCTGAATTATTTTCTAATCAGCCACGTGTACTGTTTGCGTTTTCACTCACACTTACAGTATCACAATAGATGGCCCCTCTCTCGTTGGTGCATTCACATATTGGACTGTTAAAAAAATAGACAGGTTCACATTTAATCTGACAAATAGATACTATTACAGCTCAGATTAGATGTTAAAATAATATAAGAATGAGAAATAAGGTGCTTGTTATAAATGACCAGCTCCTGGAGATGGGACCTCTGTACAAACAGGGAGTTCCAAACAGTGAAACCAAAGAAATACCTCAGGGAAGATGTGCATAAGTCCACTCCTGTAGGGCTAGAAGGTTTCTGATTTTATTTCCAGCTGAGCCCTTTAATAAACTCAGGACTTAGTTAATTAGTCATGTTGACTTTCCTTGTTCTTGAGAAGCTGGGGATCTCAAGAGATAACAGCTTCTCTCAACTAACAGCTGTTGGCCCTTCTAAAAGTTTCAAATGAGTCCCAATAAGAAAAAACAAATAGTAACTAGGAACTAGACCTTGCCTGCACCATTGACCTCGTTTTGTCAGAACAGTATAAATACAGATTTTACAAACTTTATAAAAATAAAACAGTCACAATAGATTTGAAGAACATGTTCCAGTATTCAAATAAATAAAAAAAGGTATTGGAGAACAATGGGGGTAAAAATAAAATAGAAAGATTTAAAATACAATTGCGAAGACGGATTGGTACAGACAAATCACACCAAAGTGGAACTGAAGCAAACATGGGTTTCCAAGCATTAACCGGGGGAGGACGGTCAACCAAGTGAATTGTAACAGTCATTGTCCTTTTTGCAAAACTCGTGGTGGAGCTCTCAACAGCTACAGGATATGTCAAAAATGCGGACTGCGAAATAAAGAGGTCAGATCTGCACCCTTGGTCAAGCCCTTCTGCTTTAGCAACCGTCTTAGATTCAGAAGTGCCGCAGTGGCTACAGATTTAAACACTGGTGCGGGCTGTGGAATTTAACACCTCTGCAGCTATTCGCTAACTGCACTATTTAAAGTATCCCCTGTAGAGTCGACAATAACTGCTCCGTTACAGAAAACAGGAGAATACTGGACTACAGAGTAGCTATAATAGAACAACAAGCAGTAGAAAAAGAAGCATTTCTTTTTCGGCTTTGTGAAGACTACAGCGTCCTGTGACCTCCATGGTGCACTTTCAATATCGCTAAATTAAGCATAAAAGTGAAACCTGACTCCAGCAATTGCCAGATCCACGCCCACTGAAAACAAAATGAAAAACTTTTAGATTTTTACTAAAAGAAATCCAATGCAATAGATATACTTGGGACCTCCAGGCACTGTCTTGGGAAAAGGATCCATTCCTAATGATACATTCTCAAGATTGAACAAAATGAGTAATAAATAATATGAACTCTTTTCTACTGCACTCATTCACAGAGTCCAGTACTACTGTTTAATGCAGGGCTTCCCAGTTCAGGCCTCTGCTGGGTCCTATTCCAGCTGGGCTCGTTAATTTAATGAAACCCCAATTAGAATTTGATTTTCAGTTCTGAAGCTTTGACATGAGGAATTTCTATATATATAGAATTGTCCTGGAAGCACTAATGAAGTTATTAGCCCAGTCAGGCTGAATTGAAACGCAGCAGGTGCTCGGGACAGCAGCAGCAGCAGGGCTGGACAGCCCTGGGCCCAGAGAGCTCACCAGCAGGCGCAGGTGGCTTCTGCCCAGTTAGGAGAGCACTCGAGTCTGGCAGTAGCAGCCATCGGGAGACCCAGATCCGCAGTGCCCCCATTCAAACCGAGGGGCTGACTTGAGCAGCGCAGGCTGCCGCGGGCGACGCTCTGAGCCCAGGCGGCCAGCAGAGGGAATGAAATGTCTGCGCCCAGCTGGATGTTTCCTGCAGAAGGAGCTCCCTGCACGCCACACCCACCCCGCTCTGCTGGCCTCGGGAGTCAGGTCTTGGATATTCTCCCAGTCTGTCAGGCTTTTCATCGCGTGGGTTTACAAAGATTACAGTTAGGCCTAATGTCAACTCAAAACAGCCACCATACAAAGCCATACGCACACGTGCGCAGACACACGTTTGCCCAGGTTCTTGATGGCAGTTTTGGTGTGAAGAATAATGGGATGAAAATGGGAGTCCCGCCGTCTTCTCCTCTTTCACTCTTTCGGGAGAGGCCTTCGGAACAGCAGGATGTGCGGCTCTGGAAAGACAAACAGGCACTGAGCTTGAACAGGGCTCCTCTGGGATTCGATACAGCCGCGGCCCTCAAGACACACGTTTCGGCTCGAACCGGCTGACGCTTTCTGTGGGCCGGAGTCACGTTCGGCCCTGAAACCAGGTTCGACGTTCAACGTCTCTAAATGAATTTTCTGTTGTAACAACAGCAGCAACAGCCCCAGACCCCCCCCCAAACTCAAACTTACACCAGCGACCCAAAACGGAAGAACCGGACGCGTGATCTTCTTCTCCTGCTGCAGCCCCCAGCGGGGTTGTAGGGACCTCGGTTCAGGTCAAAGGTCAGACGGCCGTTTGGAACAGATCGCGAGCCGGGAGGACGCAGCTACCTGGCTTGTGGATCATGTAGTGTATCCAGCCCTGGCTCTGCTGCACACCCAGGCTGCGCCACTCCTCCTCGGACATCAGGTGGGACGTCGGCACCAGCTTGGACATTTGCTTGGGAAGCATCACGTGCCTGGGGGGGTCAAAGGTCGTCTTAAATCAGGTTGACAGCGTTTCTTGCCCAGATCAGGCAGCCCCCTCCCTTGCTCATAGAAGCACCATGCAAACAGACGTGCACCGAGCACTGCTGTCCAGATCGGTCTGTTGTAACACCCCAGGAGGTTGAGGGGCAGCCGGGAGCGGTGCCCGGAGCTCCCCACTCCTGGCTGGAAGGCTGTGGGTTCGAGTCCCAGGTGAGCTGGATGCTTCACCCAGACAGCCGTATAATCGGCTGCAAGTGCAGGAAAACAGATCGGCCAAATGCATTAGAAATTAAAACAACATGCAACTGTTTCCGTCGAAAATAAGAGTTGTGCACCCGCTGTACACGCCAGAAAACCTGTCACTTCGCCAGGACCCGAGCTGCACTGCCGAAAATAACACAGGATCTCGATTTCGCTCATATTTATCGCTGACGAAAATCTTCCACGGTTACTACAGTGAGCCAGCGTGACCTTCTGGTTCTGGAGATAGTTACCTGCGCCTTACAGGCTTTGGCATTTATTGAAAACGAGATATTAATCTGCAAGGAACAAGTCTGAAACCGCTGAGAGTCTGTGCGAGACAAAAAAAAAGTTTTCCAAGTGAATAAATCTAATAAACAGGACACAAAAATGCGTTGGTTCCGGGTTAAACTACAAATAACCTAAATAAAGACCTTGTCCATGCAAGGCGAGTGTTTCCTGCTCCCAAATCTATACACATTCGGAACAGATTATTTTACAATAATACTGTAATATTTAAGCGCAAATCCGACGAAAGAAAACAAACCACAGAATACGTGGCATACCTGTATTCATATTCCTCGTCTGTGTATTTGTCAGAATAGTAGATCTGCTTCTTCGACATGTTTAAATCTTTATCAAATAGTCGACTCTCCGCTCGCTTTCAGAGCTCAGCCCGGTTTCGCGCTGCGGTTAGCTTCTCCCCAGCTCTCGCGCACTTCACCCCGCACGGGGCCAAAGATTTAAACTCAAACTGCCGGCTCTCGCGCTCTGATTGGCCGTAACGGACCAGCCGCGCGGGGCAAAGCTAAACGGCTGCCAGGAGGCCCGCCCGAGCTCGCGTTTGAGTCAGACGCTGGGAGAGGAAACTGCTGCCATTTTGGCTCAAGTTCCAGGGGGGTCCGCTTGCACTGTAAGTATATTAAACGTCAAGAGCCAACATGGCCGGAAGAGAGAACAGTTTCACGACAGATTGCTAATTTCTTCTCATTTTACTAAGCTCTAGTGTTGCACTTGGCGGTTTTTTGTTGCTTTACAGGGTGGATAATTTACTAACGTAATTTCTTTATATACTGATTATGTAATGGAATGACTGACTCTCCTAATAGTAGTGTTGAGGAAATGAGGTAAAGTATCGTGTTGAAAGTGATTCCGTTTGTATTTTGGTGGTATTTTTGTGACAGTCCTTGTGACAGAGTGTTTTTTTTAAGTCTTTTTTTTAAATACGAGGCTCCTGTATGACGAAACTAATTGTAAATGCAACAAGAACGATGTTTCCAATTTAGGCTATGACCGTTATTATATAATTGTTGTTTATTACGAGCTCAGGTCGCAAGATATAGCCGTCGTTAAACTTTCTCTACGTCTGAAGAGTGACGGATCATTTTTTTCAATTGTTTAAATTGTACATATTAGAGGGGTTTAAGTGTAAGGCCATCCAAATCCCGTAAGTCTTGCAGGTAACCCTAAACCACGGCTGTAAAACAGTTGGGAACATTTGGAACGTATTAAACTCGTCTGTTCAATTAAGACAACTAATGTTCTGTGCCCCTGAATATCTCTGTATGCAGTTAAGAAATCGCAATAACAAATAACAAATGTATATCTGATCACGATTTAGTTACAAATCTTCAGAAATGCAGGATTTAATAGCTATCTGCATAGAGCAGGATGTTGGTGCACTGGTGAGCTTTGCTGCTTCATTATGCTGGGGTCCTGGGTTCAAATCCTGGGGTGATGTCTGTGTGGAGTTTGTATGTTCTCCCCTAGTTTGCATGGGTTTCCTCCCTAATTCCAAAGTCCAGGGTGTACCCCGCCTTGTGTTGTGGGATACCCAGCGACCCTATATTGGATAAAGTGATTAGACAATGGATCTCCATATCACCTCATTCAACACATTGCCTGCTAACTGACTGCAGTTCCATTCTAAATCTGCAGAAATGTAGGATTTAATGACTCCCTGTTAAAAACCTGCTGGAATCTGGGTCTCCAGGAAAAACAGGACTGGGAAATTCCCCTCTGGATACACCGCATGAGCATCCCTGGCCTTTTGCATAATTAAATAATCGTATGGTTTATTTATTGAGCCGGAAGCAGAAATGTTAGCGAGCTCATTAGCGCGAACAAACCCATGAGGTCTGACGACTACACAACTGAAATGAGTTCAGCACTAAACCCCGAGAAGTGATTGACCTTTACTTGTTGAAAGTTTTTTTTTTTCCTCCACTCTAAAAACACAAGGGTTCACGTTTACCTCGAAACTGGTGGACAGAAAAAGAAAATTGACAAAGGTGGGCAATGAGTCTCGAAAGAAAAAAAAACGAAAATGTCAGCTGTGGTTAACCTCATCCTCGCACACTTGTAGTATATTCTGTGAGGATGAGGGCGACGGCGAAAATCTTTATTTATATTCACGGCGTTCGTCTGTTTTAGAAAATGAGCTGGAGCAGCCGTGGTTTCGTGTAAACACAACCTTGACCTGATTCGCTCGCCTGTGACCACGTTTCGAAAGCACGATTTGTGTTTAACAAACTGTTGTAGAATAACTCGAGCCGTGACCTTTGAAATTAAGTCAGACTGACGGGAGTGGGCAATCGCACAGATGAAAACAAGGGAGTGTGTGCCACCCCTGAGCACTTTAATATCTTTCTGTGCTCGGAGTCGGGACAGAATAAGTGTGGGGTTTAAGGGCCACGCCTGGGTGATAGCGTGTCGGTATCCAAACAGGTCTGAATGCCATTCTCTCCTTCCTCTTTATCTTTTCTTTAAATTCTTCCCCCTTCTTTTTTTTAAAAAAAGACTTATTAAAATAAATTGTTCAACTTCCTCCTTCCTCCTTATTCATCTTTCCCCCAGCTGGCTGACCATGCCACCTTAGAAACAGTGACATGATTATTAATAACCAAGCTGTCAAGACCTTCTTTTAAGGTCTCATCCTTGTGGAACCCCCTACAGCACAGTGTCCCCCGTGACCACTCTGGGACGTTAGTTTGGGCATTCTGGTCCAGAGGGAACGGTCAGATCGCCACCTACTGCTCTGCCAGCGTCTCTTACAGCAGCAACCTGGTTTTCATCGAAGGCCTCTGATCCCAGCACAGACGATTAACACCGCCCCGAGGCCTGATGAGTATAGGTTATGACCCAGCTATATTGAAATATTTCTTTCAATAAATACGGCTTTGAATTAAAAAGAGTGATTTTTGCTTTGGCTGCAGTATCAAAGAGGAAGCACAAAATGCTGCACGAGGCAAGATGCATTTGTGTTGCCCTTTCAAAACCGTTTCCGGGGGCTGTGAAGTCCTCCCTGCCCTTTCTTCTGCCCTTTGACTGACATCCGAGTAACATCCACGCTCTGGTCCCTCTCAAGGCGGCTGGGCGGCGCAGGTGGGTGTGAAATGTCAGGTAGGTGAGTACCGAGTGAGGCCGAGTGTGGCCTTTTCTGCTGCGTGTTGCAGACAGGAGCTGTTTGAAGAGACATCGCACTTCTTTAGAGCCTTAGGAAGCCCTGCTCAGTGACAAACGTGTGAGATGTCAAAGATCACTGGCGCAATTTTTTTAACGGGTTCAAGGAGGGAGCCGTGTCAGCTTGCATAAGCTGCAAAGGAACAAATAAAGGTTTAGTCCCTGCTGAAAAGAGCAGAAAAAGACAACATTTCGGCTGTAGAGCCTTCTACGGGTGTGACACCTGAAGAAGGCTCCACAGTTGAAATGTTGTGTTTCTTTTCTCTTTGGAGCACAGAATAAACTTTTACTTGTTCCTTATTTTTTTAACAGGATGCTCCTCAGGCAAAATCTCTGATGCTTTTGCTGCTGAAAACTTTAGACTGAAAACTTGATACTGGCTTTTCCGTTTAAATTTAAGTATCATTCCATGAAAATGAACTGTTCCTGGGGAGGTGCAATTATATCAGAGTTGGATGGTAGACTGGGGTGTATTTCAGCTCTCTGCTACATACGTTTTTGTCTCCTAGTAAACTCGCCAGCCATTACATGAGAGAACGCATTTCAAAGCCTTTCCAAGCCACACAGGGTAACACGTCTATGCAGAAATGGTAGCAGAAGGTACTGAAAAACTGGAGAATAACCCCCCCCCAGTCTTAGTAACTCCAGCTGCTAAAAAGGGTGTGCTATGGTTTAGCTACATTCTGTACGTGAGTGGCTGTTTGTACAAGTCAGCAGCTCACAGGAAGTAAGCTGATCGATCTTTTCTCATTCGTTTAATATAGCGTACAACAGAGATAAAAAAACATGCAAAAGTTATTTCTTACAGTAACGACGCCTATTTTCATAGACGCCCGAAGTGCTGCAGCATCGCTGGTCTGTGCCTGTGTGTGGGGAAAGGCTCAGCAGAAGCAGGGGCTGGTGTTTGCAGCCTGTGCTCTGGGATGGAAAGGTGCTAAGTAACATCAGGGGAGGAGGCCACAGGCCGATGAAGTCTTCACTTTAAAAACCAAATAGAGGAAGTGGTTTCCTTTGGGTCAGCAGTCTAATACCAGGGTCTCTGAGTCTCTGCTCTGCAGTACAGTGTCGCTTAAACAGGGCTTCCCCTGTCCCAGGGAAAAGAGGACCCTGTGTTGTGCGTGTCGCGTCCAGGCTGGTGAAATAAACTGCTGCACGTTGCACAGAGCTGTCCCATGTTAAGTAGGTTTGTTTCAGACCCTCGCTGCCCTTTGTGTAAAGAAGTGTCCGCTGTTCTCGGTCTTAAGCTCGCCTCCACACATCTCCCACGCGTACCCTCTAGTTTGTGTGTCACTGAAGATTCTGCCTGTCAGGATTTTGGACTCTAAATTTGAATCAGGTCCCCATTTTAATCTATTTCCATAAAGAGTTCCAAAAGCTGAAATAGTGGATTTGTTCTGTGAAAAAGAAGCTGTTTTTACTTTTCTATACAGTGTTTTGAGTTATTACTATTTTATGTGTTCTTTTTTAGTATCTTCTGTCTCTCCTTCCTTTAGTTTAACCCCTTGTTGTGAGGAACATAGTTAGAGGTTTTGAATATTCACTATTTTCCTTTTCATAAATTATTTTCAGATGAAGCTCTCTACCAACACTTCACCTACATGTTCTGTAACATTTAATCTGCAGTTTATGGATCATGTATTTTGGTTGGTTTAAAATACAATACAAATAAGTGTAAAAAGATCATAAACTGTTTTAAAAAAGTTCCTATAACAGCTTAGTTTAAGCTGTTAGTTTAGATTTAGTCTAGAAAGTTTTTTTCTGCTGCGGTTCAGCAGTCGCCAGGAGGCCGTGTTTATTACAGTTAAAGCCTTGTTCTGGGCTTGCCTTGTGTTGTGGGACGCGAGAGCTACTGTAGTATATTTGTACACCGTAATCTCCTCCTACAGATGGCCGAGACTGGAGAGAGTGGGTGGACCTGTTTGACTAATGGACGTTTTTGTGTGTTCTTATTTTAAAAATGCTCTTAAATGCAGACAGCTGCTCAACGAAGGGAGACTCTTTTTTTTTTTTCCCGCCTGTGACCTCTTATTCAAACCGTAAGAACAGGATGCTGTTGTGACTGTGGGTGGGGGGCTGGTTTTCAGCAAGTCCAGCAGTGATCAAACTGCCCTGCTTGAGTCCGTCTCTGGGAAGGTTTGGATCACTGATTCCTGCTTGGCTGTGTTTGTGTGCCTGATCTTGAGCTAGGAGACAGGTGAACAAAAAGATGAGCAGAGGGGTTCCTAATGATTTACTGAGATTCATTAACCCCACTGTAAATCATTAAGACCGTTGTATTAAAGAATAAACTGGCCATTCCGCGGGTGGTCCATACTGCCTCCTAAGGAGCGGACCACAGCATAAATACAGGCGCAGACTCGGAAGGAGAGGACTCTGAGTGAGAGATGCTTTGTCTCATCAGGCTGGAACCAGGTTCTATCTAGGTAATCTGAGCATTCTTACAACAGATCCTGCCTTCTTCTTTATCTTGGAAAATTCCCATTTCCTATCTTCTGGATTTCCTCAGGCTTAACACATCTCATGTTAGTGGTGCGTTGTTGGAATAGGGGAAGATTGGTTTCCATTCACTGGTGGGCCTCTGTGTTTGAGAGGAGGTGAGTTAATCTGGGGTAGGATCCATTTTTATTAGGAGGCAGGTTTTTCCTTGCTGGCTTTAAGAAACGTTTTTGTGGTACATTTGGATTACTGGATGAGAATTCTGGAATATTCTAAATCCAAAGTAAGGAAACCATGCATTGTACATATCTATATATACAGCAGGCCAACTGCTGTAGAGTTATTTGTCAGAATAAAGATGTTTTATCCGTGGCTGGGTCTGATTATTGCAAGAAAATAAGTAATATGCTTGCTGTGAACATCTGGCAATGCATGACGTTAGTGAACTTGTTAAAATATTAGCTTGCATAGTAAGATGATGTGAGAATCTTGATTTGTATATGTATTCAATAACAGCCCTACTTATAATTGATTAGAACCCCTTGTTTCACTACATTATGAGCGAGAGGACGCTGTTCGATCCACATGGCGAGTCTTCTAGTTATGAGCTAATTTCATCCCTCTGTGTCTTCAAGGAAAAGAATCTATTCGCCTGTTCCACGCTCCCACAACCCTCTGTGTAGGGTGAGCCCATTGGCTAAATCACATCAAATGAATTGTAGAAGCATTTATTATGTTTAGAAATGATAAATAATTATTAGACTAAAAGACGCGCAAAGTAAAAAAAAAAATCCGGGGTATGAGGCCGAAATCTGAAGATATGTTTTTATGTGCCGCAGGCGAGGAAGTGTGTCAGTGACGCTGGAGAGGAAAGAGGCAGCTCGCGGTGTCTGTGGCTTCTCCGGCTCGAGGCTCGCCCCGCGCCGTGCAGAGCGCGCGCACACCGACCCGGGGCGCGACGCTCGCGGGCTCACACCTCTCTAGCCGCGCGGCAGGACCGGGGCAGGACTCGTCTCTCCAGGTATGTCCACGGGCGTGCAGTACGTTCATCTCTGCTTCTTTTAGCAGGGAATTTCTGAAACAGCATCGCAAAAAAAAAAGGGCAAAACGCTTTTCCTCCTTGTTTAACTTTGCAAACGTTTAAACTAGTCTGAGCCTTGGCAGCGCAAAAGCTTCGTTCCTGTATTTGTCTTTGCGCTGTAACCGATGTAGGGAGTAAAGGTACAGAATATCCGTGACATTGGCCATTAACACTTGTCAAGAAATGCGATTTGGACTTTTTTTTTAAATTAAAAGCGGTCTTGGTGAATGAAACAGGAAAACAAAACGCGTTCTTTCACTTGAACAACGAAGCAACATAGTGGTAATGAGTTTATTTATAAAGTTTAACGCGGGCTTCCTGGTGGTGAGATATGTATAACTCGCTCTAGTTTTCTACATCAATGTTTCCTTGTAATTTATTCGATCGTTCTCCACATAGATACAAAATCACAACGTATCGAGCATCGCTACACGTACTCGGACTTCCACGGTGAGCCGGCAGCTGCGAGAACTTCAGAGAGCAGCTCGCCAGTATCATCACAAACACGATTCTTTTCAGTGACAAAACGTGGCGTTTTCTCTGGGGGGAATCATCCCTGAAATAAAAAGAAAAGCTCGAAGCTGAGAGGGAGTTTTCGGCTCAGTTCTCTGCAGTGCCCCGCTTTCACACTTTCATTTTCCTTTCGTGAAGTGAAGCGCTGTACCCCCAAACCCCGGACACGCCGCCAGACAGAATCAGGCCCTTCTCCCGCAGAAACAGCCCAATAAAAGCATCTCATGGAAACGATTAAACTCCAGCGACAATAACCGTAAAAAACGAAGAAGCCCCTCGCTTCTTCTGTCTTATTAAAGATCGGCGTTTGGCTGTCGTCTCTCAAGACAGAACGGGACGTGATCGCCAAATCGGAGCCCGACCACACAGCCGGTCGAGTTGAGACGATTTTCAACATGTCTGCTGTCGCAGAACCGGCTGGGACGCGCGGTTGTTGCTGTGATGAATGAAGGCGGGTGCTGGGTGGGCCAGCAGGGTTTCTGAGAGGACTGGATGGGCCCGCTCGCTGCTAGCGCTCTGTTTTTGGATCAGGCTTTGACTTCTGCATCCCGCCCTGCAAGGCGCTATATAAAAGCAAAGCCGCGTGTGAAGGAAATAAGAACCGTAATGACATACGATGATAAATGAAGCCAGCCGGCCCATCTAGCCCTTGTGGTAGTGAGTTAACTATTAATCCAAGGATTGCATCCAGCTGTTTCTTGAAAGAAACCAATGGATTGTCTTCAATAACATGGCTGGGTGGCTCGGTCCCTACTCCCACCACCCTCTGTGTAAAGAACTGCCTCCTCTTCTCTGTTTTAAATAGACTTCCGTGTCATTTCCAGATGTGTCCTCTGGTTCGTGTTTCACTGTTCATCATGAAGAAATCCGCTGGCTGGTCAATGATATGGTGAATTCTTGTCTCCTAGTCTTCATTGTTCAAGACTGGAAAGGTTTGGTTCCTTTAGCCTGTGTCCAGTGCAGAACCTTCTTTTAAGCCCAGAATGTGTCTGGTTGCTCTTTCCTGGACTGATTCCAGAGCTGTCAGTGTCAATGCAGGGTCAGAATTGGGATGGATTAAGTCCAGGATCCACTTGTCTGTTGCTGACAGGTGTCAGATGGGACTGGGAAGCAGTCAGTCACTGTTGGCTGTGATTCTGGACTGGAGGCTGGGTCAGTGCTGTAATTGAATCTGGGCCTAAGCCTTCGTATTCAGCTGTGATCCACTGTGACTTCAGTCCTCCTGCAAACCTTCTCTTTGCTTTTTCACATGCGGCCGCGCATCGCAAACTGAGATTAGGAGGCACTTTTTTACACAGAGGGTTGTGGGAGTCTGGAGCGAGCTACCCTGCCGCGCTGCCGAAGCCCGTACAGAGGTTTCTTTCAAGAAAGGGTGGCTTATGATCGGGGGATCTCAATCAGCAAACCACCACACGACGCCCAGCCTTGCCGAAGGAACGCCAACTGCTCTAGAATCACCCCCTCTTCCAGCAGACCTGTCACTCAGCTGCGCTACGACAACCAGATCAGGGGGAAAATCGGTCCCACCTGCGCTGGCTTTCAGACCTGCCCCTGCGACACTCTGACGTTCAGTCTTAGTGATCTTCTTCCCCTGTCTCGGCGCTCTCAGTGTGCTCGCCCCGTTTCCTGACTTTTACTTCTTTCGACTTCCCTCTGGTCTGGGCACTCGGATATTCCCTGTGTCCGAGGGTTTTTTTGGTTTGGAAGTTCGCTGGCTCGCGACTCCGTTACGGATTTTCCCCGGTGCTTCGTTTCCAGCCTCCCTGGCTTCGATCCTTTGCTTGTTTTTTTACTTTTGACAGTTTCGGACAGCTTACCAGGGGCTGGTTCGCTCTCTGTTTCAGCTCGTACTCCCCTGCACTGGGATCCAGACTTCAGCCTCTGGCCTCTACTCTCCCACAAGTAAGTGCATCTGTTCCGCCTCTCCCCTGTGACCTTTCTCTCGAGACCCCTTGAGATCTTCTTCTTCCTTCTCTTATTTCGACCGTTGGAAAGGAAAGCAGAGGAGGGGGTGTTCAGTGTTATTTTAAAAGTGTAACACAACAATTCTTGCAGGGCGACCCACTGCTTTAACGGATCGAAATGCCGCCAAAGTGATGTTTCGGGGTTTTGATGTGACTGTCGAGTGGGTCTGTAGCTCTCATGGCAGGTCGCCAGGCAGCACGGATGTAGCCGGCTCCAAAAAAATAGAAAGTGAAAAAAAGCAGAAGTGAAAGACTGGCGCTTCAATCGTTAGATGAGCGATGGAAACGGTTTGTGTTGGTTGTGCTGCCTCTTTTTGTTGTGGGACTGGCACCACTCCATTCAGGAGGTGGCAGTAAATGTTCCAGACCTTCAGGCAAGACGAGCGTTTCTGCTGTTTTAAGATTTTGAAGCCAAGGCAAACAGCAGGTCAGGCCTCTGAGCTGATCTTTCAGATGCTGAAAGATCTGGCAAACCTCTCGGCCTTTTCTCTTGATGTGAAGCGCGGAGTGTGCCTGGGCATCTGTCCGTCACATTACTGCGCTGAAGAAATTCACAGACCATCCTGGTGGCATTGCTGAGGGCTGAAATAACTGGAGCGATGACCTAGATTTGTGTGCGTCTGTGTGCCACTGTGTGGTGTCTGTGTGTGTATGTGAGTGTGGGGTATCTGTTTCTGTGTGTGTGTCAGTGTGGGGTGTCTGTGTGCCACTGT